GGGGGGCGGGAGGGAGCTGCCTCTCCGCTCTGATGCCATCCAGAGAGCAACAGATAGGTGGGCGTGCGGGTAGGTGGGCGGGCGAGGGGGCGGGAGGGAGCTGCGGCCGGTCTTCACATGTAAAATGTAATTACACGTGCAGCTACCCCGAAGGTAAGACCTAGCGCTATCTTCAGGGATGTCTGTAATATAAGACCTACCACCGAACTAGGTCTTATTTTCGGGGTTGGTCTTACTTTCTGGGAAACACGGTACTACTGCCTTTGGGCGTTATGAAGGTTAAAGACTTCCTGTGTCTCTTGAAGGACAAGAAAGAAAATAGTCTTTTTGCTAGAAATCCATTTCCTTTTAACTCTTTGTACACTAAGCTAATATTTTAAACCATGTTATTGACTTTCCCAGCTGTCGTCTGTGACCTGCTAAACACCTCCTTCCTATGTAATGGGAGAGGGGGCGGTGTTTGTAGTCCAGATCAGGAGAGCAGCCTAGTGTGACAACGCTCCATAGATGCAGTAAGGTGAGTGAGTGTTGTCACCCTAGGGCAGTGGTTCTCAACCTTTCTAGGGCCGGGACCCCTTGGTAATATTTGCCAAGTTGTGGTGACCCCCAAAGGTAAAATTTAGGGATGACGCGGCTGCTGCAGCGACATCTGGAGGCGTGGCGGGAGAACTGACACTGCTGCGCTAGGAGAGAGCTGAGGAGGACTCTCACCTTGCACAGCGACCCCACAGGTTGAGAACCACTGCTATAGGCAAAGACAGGACCGGGCTCTGCAGCTGGAACTAGAAGAATTGGATTTAAAGTGTGTGGCTATATAACGTATGAGGTACATACTCCGCAGTACAGTCACGGATGGGGATGGGCTCGGGCGTGTTCGCAGCTCCACGTGCCGAACTTCAGGTCCCCCTCTGCCGATTGGCAGCATCAGAGGGCGGTTGCAATAGCTAGTTTGCTATTGGCTTTTGCAAAGTGAAATAGCCAATAGGAATCTAGCTATGCATTCCTATGGTGGGTTTTTTTCTTTCTGACTAGGCGACCCCTGGCAAATCGTCATTCGACCCCCGAGGGGGTCCCGACCCACAGGTTGAGAACCACTGCCCTAGGGCAGGAGGTAGGTTGCGGATATTGGCCAATAAAGGTTTCTTTTTTTTACCTGCACACACTTTAAGTTGAGATGGAAAGTAGTAGACGAGTTGCACGTTTTTATTATTTCTAGATGTGATCGCAGTACCGAGCATGAAGTATAATTCTAAATCATTGAATCGATGAATCTATAATGGACTTTATAATAATAAAAACGGTGTTGTGCTCGGCGCAATCTGATTGGACGTGTGAATCCTTCAACCTGTTGTGCATGTTCCTGACCCGGCTCGTCTCTCTGCAGGTTTATTGGTGAATGTAGATAAAAGAATCACCCTCTCTGCTTTCAAACAGCAGCTGGAGCCTTTTGTGGGGGTCCCCTCCTCCCAGTTTAAAGTCTTCCGGGTTTATGCCAGCAATCAGGAGTTTGAAAGCGTGCGGCTGAACGAGACGCTGTCCTCCTTCTCCGACGACAACAAGGTAGGAAGTTGGATCCATGGCTTCTCTGGCCGTTTCCATTTTGTTCTATGGGTCACCGCAAAACAATTTGCATCTTTCCTTGTAATCATGGCAACAGTACTCATGGCATGCTCAGGGGTCCCTAGAAGCTCATCCCTTGTTTCTGCATCTTGCTCAGCACCACTCCCTGAAGTCTGCACAGAGCTTGAAGGCCAGTTAGAGGGACGTGGCATTCCCCGTAGTCTCTTGATGTACTGCGCTTCCATCTTTACCGCACACTTTATACTCGCATCTAGACATGCCGGAACGGAGGGTGCCATGTTTCCTGTTGCAGCACTTGGACTGATTGCGTGATTTATAGTAAATTCATACCCTTGAAGTGCTCGCATACAGAAATGTGCAGGGGGGTCCCATGTTTCCTGTTGCAACACGTGGACTGAGCATGTCATAATAGTGAAAGTGTGTGTGTGTGTGTTGCCTTGTTTGCTATTTCAGCACATGGACTGATCATTAGGGATGCACCGATAGCGAGTATTTGGGCTCGTCCTCTCCCAAATGCTTCGATACCTTCCCCGATAACGGAACTTCCAGGCAGAGGAAGATTTTCTCTGCCCGGCAGTGCCGTAGGGGAACATGGAGCCAGCTTCCCAAGCGATCAAGAAGTTGGCAGCGAGTAATGACCCGGCTCCTTGATTGCCCGGGAAGCCGGCTTGATGCTGATTGGCTGGAAAGCTGGCTTCCCTGCCAAACAACATGGAGCCGGCTTCCCAGGCAATCAAGAAGCCGGGCGGCATGTCATTACCCGCAACTCAACTTCCCGATTGCCCGGGAAGCCGGCTCCATGCCAGCGGAATCACCGGTATATGTACTCTGCATCGGCAAGTACCGAAAGCAAAATATCTGTACTCGTGCTTCAGCCGGTATCGGTGCATCCCTACTAGTCCTGTTATAATAGTAGACAACGCCATGCATCATGCACATGGATCTCATTATCTAGAGAACGGAAGCTTGTATGTACCTGCTAAAACATTTGCCAGTCCGCTTTTTAGAACCATCCCTGATGTGTTGCAAAGTTTTTTTTGTATTGGAAAACATAAAATCTTTCCTTCCCCCCCCTGTATTTTCTAGATCACCATCCGGCTGGGAAGGGCCCTGAAGAAGGGAGAATACAGAGTGAAAGTGTTCCAGCTCCTAATAATAAACGACCCCGAGGTAGGAGCGGTGACACCGGACTCTGAGCAGACATTGTGGCGGCGTCGGTACGGAATATTCATCCTCTGCTTTTATGGGTTTGTTTTGCAGCCGTGTAAGTTCCTGCTGGACGCCGTCTTCGCCAAAGGAATGAGTGTGCGACAGTCCAAGGAAGAGCTGATTCCTCAACTCAGGGAGCAGTGTGGCCTGGACCTCTCCGTGGACAGGTATCTTCTCTCAAGGTTTCCGGACCATTGTG